GTCTTTGGCATGTTAACTTTCTTTTAACGGTCATATTCAATATACAAGGGTACTGTGTAGCTCTGAGAGGCAATTTGAATGTCTTGAAAGAATTATTGTGTTGTTTATTGATCTACTTCATTTCTCCTGTTCCTCTGGTTCCTTTTGATGTCTTGTCACTTTGCTCAAAATATAATACAAAATATAATAGGGCTTTAAATTAGTAACTGTGCAGGGATCCCTACATGTGTGACTATTAGGGTATGTTTCTCCTTTGAGTGAGAATGTGCTGAGTTTTTCCTTGTCCACTATATATTGTTGCCATTGGAGTTTTGTCCTTTCTCGTGCCTCTCCCCTTCCACAAAGACTCCTTCCTGTCTTCCTCACAATGAAACCCAAATGTTTGAGGTTTTGTCTTTTAGGTTTTGTAACAGTCTAATCTCTTATTCTGCCATTGGAAGGTCACAGAGTAGTACCCTACTTAAGGATAATGAAAATGAATTAGAATGCTTAGATTTATTCCCCCCCCCCCCTTCTTTTAAAAATTGCTCTGTGTGTCTTTAACATCTGTTAAATTAATGAATTAAAACTGCCAGCTGATTGATGCCCATTCAGCCCTTACTCTGGTGTCCCCCAGTCCAGAAAGTATCGCAAATTCTAGAGCCCTGCTTACCAAAATAGAGCCTTTTAGGTATTTTAGCATAAAATGCATTTCAGAGTGATTGTATTTGTCCCAAAGCCCGAGTTAGAAGTACAGGTCATTTGGGATTAAGGATTCATTTGGCGGAAGAAGGGGGCAGGGGGAAGGCAAGCACATACGAAGATAAGAGGAGTGGATGTACTCGGACCAAAGAATGTATCTGTTCAAATATCCTTTTTCTGACGGTGGCATCAGGTACTCGTAGAAAGAACAGAAAAATGAGTCAAACGTACAACAATATTTATCTTCTTTGTGCCATGCAGGATCTTAAATATATCTGTCCTATCCCTTTCCAGTCACTTCTTTCTACAGATTTAAGTTTACAGCCTGTTTGCTTATTCCTTGCACATAAGTTGTTCCGTATCTGTGGTCATCTTGGTCACCACCTCAGTACCTCCTCTATTTCTAGATCCTTTGAAATGCAGTATCAGAACTGCATGTGGTATTTAAGAAGAAAAGTGCAATTGCATGTTTCTGATCATTAATCAAAGCTGTGTATAGCTTTGGAGGTTTTTTCCTTTCCTTTTCCCTGTAAATACTCTTCAGCCTAGGACAAGGCCTGCAGTTTTTTTGTGTTTGACTTATTTCTTCCACTTGCTAGTCTGTTGGCTGGTCTTCACAGAATCACAGAACAGTTGAGGTGGGAAGGGACCTCTGGAGATCAGCTAGTCCAACCTCCCTGCTCAAGCAGGGTCCTCTAGAGCAACCCTCAGCAAGTGCAGACAGACACAGCATTATATATCTGGAAGGTCTGGAGGTCTGATGAAGATTAATTTTTGTAATAAATTAACATAGAAGTATGGTAAGTTGCAGAATGAGGAAAAAAGTCTTCCTGCTAGTAATAAGGCAGACTCAAAACTGTTTCCTTTAGTTGTACAGCTTCTCCAGATGAATGTGTTGTGACTGCACACAAGACAGTCCTGCCTGTGAACACTCTAGCTTCTAGCTCTCCTTTCCTTCCCACTGACAAAACCCGGGCTCTGATTTCCCCGTGCTCCGAGCACACAGCTCTGGAAGTCACTAGCAAAGCAGTTGCCAGGGTTGTGCTGAGTAGCCGAATCACATAAATTAGCCTATTCTAGTTATCGTTGGCCTCTGGCTGAAGAGGCAAAAGTTTATGCCATGAAGCTGTCAGATTCATGCACTGCTGATGTTCGCTGTGTTATGTGCAGGGCAGAATTGCTGCTTCCTTTTGAAAAACAAAAATAAGCCCCCCTTCTTCCCAGTTGAGGATAACCTGAAAGACTGCAGAGGAAAAAAAAAGACAGGAAAAAAAAAAAAGAGGGGAGGGGGGAGAAAAAGCCCCCCCCCCCCCCCAAACTCGTAAAATATGTTGAAGGGTGCAGAACATAAGCTGTTACATTAGTAGTGGCCAAAGTCAAGATTACCTGCATAATGTTAGATCTACCTTCTTTTGTGCATGCAGCACAAGTCCTTAAGCACTTGCATACTGTTTTCTTTTCTGTAAAACTGCAGATATTTCAGCAATAGCAGAAATATTGTGGATCACAGAGCAGAGCTATGTGATTATACTGATGAGATTTCTTTTTTTCCTACTGGCCTTGCCCTTTAGTTGTCATATTTCAGCGTGTAGCTTGACTACAGTGCTTCTCTGTTTCCCATCTCATTGTAAACCATGTTTCCCTGTCTTTTGAAAACCTACTTCAAATGTAACTGAATAAAAAGCATCAGAGAAAACTGTGTGGTAAGAGGAAAAAGAAAAGCAAATCCTCAGTTGTATGGAGCTGCCATTAATGTTCAGAAGCTGACAAAGATGAGCTACTAATCTAAGGACAAAGACTTTTCAGAGTCTAGGTGTGGTTCTGGTCTTGTGAAGCGGGATGCTGAGCTTTGAGCGCTGCACATATCAGTTTTGTTGTCCTTTTTAGATATTTGGTCGTTGTCATCATCATTTACTTTGAGTGCTGTAATACTCTCTTATGTTCCTGTTTCCATGTCGGTACATGAAGATTCGGAGTCTACAGAGCGTCCAGTCTACAGTGAAATTTGTAGTTCACTACAGCTCAGTCTGTGTTTTGCAATCTGTCTTGTTTTTTTTTTACGGTAAAAACATCAAGGATAAAATGCTGCAAAATTGACTGTTCTTCACTGAGAGAAAAACAGTCATCTTTTCCACTGTTTACATACAGAAGATGGGGACTTTGCTATGACACGAAGACACTTTAGGCAGATTTCAAACAGCAGTGAAAAAACTCCCTCTCTTTAGGGAAAGAAAATGTATCATGTAGGCTGTTTGTTGTTTTTAAGTTAAAACATTTTTTTTCCCAAGAGTATTAGCTGTTTCAATAAAAATCTTGTATTTTTAAAGCAGTTAAATAACCAAAAAGTCAATAATATATATAAAACGTATAATAAATGTTGACTTATGCACCTTTCTTCCACAATACCTTGTCATACTAAAATAGTGCTCTTGCATATACTAAAGATGCATCATTTTTATTCAGACTTTGTGTTCCTGAAGGTTTATATTGTCACATAGAACAAACATTGTTGCTATTTAAAAATGATCAAATCTGTATCTTCTGACTGTAATTTTTGTAAAATAATTTCACAAAAGAAAGCCTATTAATATGTAACAGTGTTGCAGGAAATTTTCTCAGGAAACCAAAGTACAAAATGCTACTAACTGGATACTGAAGTCCCATTCAGTTTTGCTGGTCATGTGAGATTTAATTCTTGTTATTTCATATGTTTCATTTGCCAGCATCACTTTTTTCTTCCCCAGCTGGAAGAAAGGACCATTTTCTATTACCGATTGTTCTTTTCTCTCCCCCGTACTCCCTGCCCCGCGAGACTTGGGCGCTGTTTGTCCGTTAGGATAAACCACCAGTATTTCTGCCTGCCTTGTGGAGGGTGTTTTAAATGAGGCATGCGTTGGTTGTTGGGCCTGAAGGAGAAGAGTGCCCAAGTCATAGCAATGGAGGGGTGTACTCCTCCGAGCTAGCAGGGCTGCAAACTGGGATTAAAGGGGAGTCAACTCCTCGGGATCTGAGGGAACTGATTCTGGCTGTGACTAAATTATCACATAATTCAGGGCAATAAGACTAACTCAAGAGACTAAAGCAGTTGGTATCGTGCCCCCTGCATTCACAGTCTGTGCAGTTCAGGCTTTTTATTTGGGGCTAGATTTAATTTAATCCCTGGGACCAAACGAGTCCAAGCT